TCTAGCTGCTCTCCACCACCTTCTACTCCACTGCGTGCTACCTCCTCCGTTAGGTCGACTCTAGCTGCTCTCCACCACCTTCTACTCCACTGCGTGCTACCTCCTCCGTTAGGTCGACTCTAGCTGCTCTCCACCACCTTCTACTCCACTGCGTGCTACCTCCTCCGTTAGGTCGACTCTAGCTGTACTCCACCACCTTCTACTCCACTGCGTGCTACCTCCTCCGTTAGGTCGACTCTAGCTGCTCTCCACCACCTTCAACTCCACTGCGTGCTACCTCCTCCGTTAGGTCGACTCTAGCTGCTCTCCACCACCTTCTACTCCACTGCGTGCTACCTCCTCCGTTAGGTCGACTCTAGCTGCTCTCCACCACCTTCTACTCCACTGCGTGCTACCTCCTCCGTTAGGTCGACTCTAGCTGCTCTCCACCACCTTCTACTCCACTGCGTGCTACCTCCTCCGTTAGGTCGACTCTAGCTGCTCTCCACCACCTTCAACTCCACTGCGTGCTACCTCCTCCGTTAGGTCGACTCTAGCTGCTCTCCACCACCTTCTACTCCACTGCGTGCTACCTCCTCCGTTAGGTCGACTCTAGCTGCTCTCCACCACCTTCTACTCCACTGCGTGCTACCTCCTCCGTTAGGTCGACTCTAGCTGCTCTCCACCACCTTCTACTCCACTGCGTGCTACCTCCTCCGTTAGGTCGACTCTAGCTGCTCTCCACCACCTTCTACTCCACTGCGTGCTACCTCCTCCGTTAGGTCGACTCTAGCTGCTCTCCACCACCTTCTACTCCACTGCGTGCTACCTCCTCCGTTAGGTCGACTCTAGCTGCTCTCCACCACCTTCTACTCCACTGCGTGCTACCTCCTCCGTTAGGTTGACTCTAGCTGCTCTCCACCACCTTCTACTCCACTGCGTGCTACCTCCTCCGTTAGGTCGACTCTAGCTGCACTCCACCACCTTCTACTCCACTGCGTGCTACCTCCTCCGTTAGGTCGACTCTAGCTGCACTCCACCACCTTCTACTCCACTGCGTGCTACCTCCTCCGTTAGGTCGACTCTAGCTGCTCTCCACCACCTTCTACTCCACTGCGTGCTACCTCCTCCGTTAGGTCGACTCTAGCTGCTCTCCACCACCTTCTACTCCACTGCGTGCTACCTCCTCCGTTAGGTCGACTCTAGCTGCACTCCACCACCTTCTACTCCACTGCGTGCTACCTCCTCCGTTAGGTCGACTCTAGCTGCTCTCCACCACCTTCTACTCCACTGCGTGCTACCTCCTCCGTTAGGTCGACTCTAGCTGCTCTCCACCACCTTCTACTCCACTGCGTGCTACCTCCTCCGTTAGGTCGACTCTAGCTGCACTCCACCACCTTCTACTCCACTGCGTGCTACCTCCTCCGTTAGGTCGACTCTAGCTGCTCTCCACCACCTTCAACTCCACTGCGTGCTACCTCCTCCGTTAGGTCGACTCTAGCTGTACTCCACCACCTTCTACTCCACTGCGTGCTACCTCCTCCGTTAGGTCGACTCTAGCTGCTCTCCACCACCTTCAACTCCACTGCGTGCTACCTCCTCCGTTAGGTCGACTCTAGCTGCTCTCCACCACCTTCTACTCCACTGCGTGCTACCTCCTCCGTTAGGTCGACTCTAGCTGCTCTCCACCACCTTCTACTCCACTGCGTGCTACCTCCTCCGTTAGGTCGACTCTAGCTGCTCTCCACCACCTTCTACTCCACTGCGTGCTACCTCCTCCGTTAGGTCGACTCTAGCTGCTCTCCACCACCTTCTACTCCACTGCGTGCTACCTCCTCCGTTAGGTCGACTCTAGCTGCTCTCCACCACCTTCTACTCCACTGCGTGCTACCTCCTCCGTTAGGTCGACTCTAGCTGCTCTCCACCACCTTCTACTCCACTGCGTGCTACCTCCTCCGTTAGGTCGACTCTAGCTGCTCTCCACCACCTTCAACTCCACTGCGTGCTACCTCCTCCGTTAGGTCGACTCTAGCTGCTCTCCACCACCTTCTACTCCACTGCGTGCTACCTCCTCCGTTAGGTCGACTCTAGCTGCTCTCCACCACCTTCTACTCCACTGCGTGCTACCTCCTCCGTTAGGTCGACTCTAGCTGCTCTCCACCACCTTCTACTCCACTGCGTGCTACCTCCTCCGTTAGGTCGACTCTAGCTGCTCTCCACCACCTTCTACTCCACTGCGTGCTACCTCCTCCGTTAGGTCGACTCTAGCTGCTCTCCACCACCTTCTACTCCACTGCGTGCTACCTCCTCCGTTAGGTCGACTCTAGCTGCACTCCACCACCTTCTACTCCACTGCGTGCTACCTCCTCCGTTAGGTCGACTCTAGCTGCTCTCCACCACCTTCAACTCCACTGCGTGCTACCTCCTCCGTTAGGTCGACTCTAGCTGTACTCCACCACCTTCTACTCCACTGCGTGCTACCTCCTCCGTTAGGTCGACTCTAGCTGCTCTCCACCACCTTCAACTCCACTGCGTGCTACCTCCTCCGTTAGGTCGACTCTAGCTGCTCTCCACCACCTTCTACTCCACTGCGTGCTACCTCCTCCGTTAGGTCGACTCTAGCTGCTCTCCACCACCTTCTACTCCACTGCGTGCTACCTCCTCCGTTAGGTCGACTCTAGCTGCTCTCCACCACCTTCTACTCCACTGCGTGCTACCTCCTCCGTTAGGTCGACTCTAGCTGCTCTCCACCACCTTCTACTCCACTGCGTGCTACCTCCTCCGTTAGGTCGACTCTAGCTGCTCTCCACCACCTTCTACTCCACTGCGTGCTACCTCCTCCGTTAGGTCGACTCTAGCTGCTCTCCACCACCTTCTACTCCACTGCGTGCTACCTCCTCCGTTAGGTCGACTCTAGCTGCTCTCCACCACCTTCAACTCCACTGCGTGCTACCTCCTCCGTTAGGTCGACTCTAGCTGCTCTCCACCACCTTCTACTCCACTGCGTGCTACCTCCTCCGTTAGGTCGACTCTAGCTGCTCTCCACCACCTTCTACTCCACTGCGTGCTACCTCCTCCGTTAGGTCGACTCTAGCTGCTCTCCACCACCTTCTACTCCACTGCGTGCTACCTCCTCCGTTAGGTCGACTCTAGCTGCTCTCCACCACCTTCTACTCCACTGCGTGCTACCTCCTCCGTTAGGTCGACTCTAGCTGCTCTCCACCACCTTCTACTCCACTGCGTGCTACCTCCTCCGTTAGGTCGACTCTAGCTGCACTCCACCACCTTCTACTCCACTGCGTGCTACCTCCTCCGTTAGGTCGACTCTAGCTGCTCTCCACCACCTTCAACTCCACTGCGTGCTACCTCCTCCGTTAGGTCGACTCTAGCTGTACTCCACCACCTTCTACTCCACTGCGTGCTACCTCCTCCGTTAGGTCGACTCTAGCTGCTCTCCACCACCTTCAACTCCACTGCGTGCTACCTCCTCCGTTAGGTCGACTCTAGCTGCTCTCCACCACCTTCAACTCCACTGCGTGCTACAATCACCGATGATCTACCTGGTAAGTTCTGCAATATTATAACTGCATCAACATATGGGCATCACAAAGAATCTTCATGCCATGCTTTCACTCATCCTGTGTAACAAACAGCTGATGTCGAGATGGTTACTACCACATGCCTAATCGGTAGGGATACAACTGACTTCATACCTGCTGTTTCTTAAAGGAACGAGGACCCAGCAAACAAGGCCAGTGAGAGACGTCCATGTGCTGGTAAACCAGATGCAAGTCATGACTCGAAAACTAGGAAACGTCTATTCTAGTGAATTTCACATTATCGCAAGCGTAAATTTCTTCTGCGCACTCAATTTTAGCAGACGCGTGAGGAAATTCAACAACTGCGAGCGCAGAGACTGACATAGTCTCTCGCGAAAACTCGATCTGCTCGCTTGAAACCCGATCTGCTCGCTCGAAAGTATGACTTTTGGCAGTGTGTGGTCGGGCTCTTCTCTGATTGGTCCTCGTCGTTGAGGCTTTGACAGAGTCTCGTAGGCACGTCACTCACTTCAACCAAACTAAGCAGCCAGATATACGTATGGTGAAAACTCATATTTAATGACGAACCGAAGTAACGGTACCCATTAAACCGGTTTTGATTAAATACTAGTGATGATTAGGGCATTTGACCCATGGTCACTTTATTTATTCCATGAAAAAGAGTCAGTTCTCGGGACATAGTCGCTGTTATCTGCCAGTAGGTAACATAGCTAGCTACTAGCTAGCTTTAAGCGTGCTGCTCCACCATACATATATGTAGCTACTTACCGGAGTTTGGTTGAAGTGAGTGACATGCCTACGAGACTCTGTCAAAGCCTCAACGACCAGGACCAATCAGAGAAGAGCCCGTCCTCCTTTGGTTCCCGCCCACCCAAAACCGCCCACACACTGCCAAAAGTCATATTTTCGAGCGAGCAGATCGAGTTTTCGCGAGAGAGTATGTCAGTCTCTGCGCTCGCAGTTGTTGAATTTCCTCTCGCGTCTGCTAAAATTGAGTGCGCAGAAGAAATTTACGCTTGTAAAAACCTGAAATTCACTCGAATAGACGTTTTCTCACATGTGTGAGTTTTGTAATTAAACTGACGCCATAAAGGAGGACATGGTAAGAAGTGAGGCCCGGGAGGAACGGTTGATCGCCAGCATCCTCCACACTGACAGTATGGTTGAGAAGCTGATGCAGAGAATGGAGAACATTCAACCTCAACCAACCACATTCTCACCACCACCACAACATCAACCACCGCAAGATGCCTATTATGGTTATGGATGCTTACTTATTTACACTAGCGCCTGAAAAGCACCGTACCGTTCATACAGCACAATTTATACACTCTACCTCAGTGTGTGTGTGTATATATATATATATATTTTCTGTGACATTCAAGGTTTTACCTTTTATACTTGTGTGCTCTTATACCGTGTTTTACTTTCTTAATATTTCTTATAAATAAAACACTTAACTAAAACTTCTGTGAGATTCTTTATTTGTGGAATGAAACACACATGAACTGTACAAGAATTGTATTTACAAACCTATGACAAACTGGCAATTATGTAATGAGTACGTCTAAAGGTCTGCGCGGGGCAGGTTTGCACTCAGGTAATCTGTGAGGGCGGCTCTGATCCTCTGTCCACGCGTGTCGTCCACGATTGTTGGCACGACCACCTGGCTGTGGCAGGTTCGATGCCAGTGTGGCCGCTTCCACTGACCAGTTGGGATCCACAGCTTCCTTCTCATTCTCACAGAAATTGTGCAACGCACAACAAGTAGCAATCACTGTAGGGGTGAATGTGACTTCAGTCTCCCAAACGCAATCTCCACCGTGGTCGTTGCAGAGCTTAAGTAGACATTGAACAACTCTTGCTCAGGGGTGATGTTTGGGGAATGGGTGTTTGTGTTTCGTGTTCACCCGTGAACACGTGTTCACCCTCGTATTCACCCTTTCATGATCCAGTCCATGAGAGGATACGCTGGATCTGCCAACAGGAAGTGACCGATTGAGACGCCATCAATTTCTCTCGGTTCCTGGGAGGAGAAACAGAAATGGTTTCCAGTGCTGGACCTGCTTACTAAATGGCCCAGCATAAATAAAACAATATATACATAAAAGCACAATAAAGCCTCTATAAAACATCATTCTACTTTAAGCTGGTAACATCTCAATAGCTTGGTGGGAGCTCCACTAGTTTCTGCATGAATAACTTTCAGTGGCTCGACTCATTTATTGATCTCATTGATTTGATCCACACATTAATACGTCTTCAGAGTACGACTTACTTCTGCTAACAGGCGTGTCTGGCTGAGCACGTTAGCGTCATGAGCTCACCCAGGCATCTTACAGCTGATGCTCCACAAGCTTAAAGAGAACAAGTCGTCAGCTTCTAATGGCACACACGACACACTAACACACACGTGAACATACGTAGGCGACACAGGACACACAAACACGCACACGCAGGCCTGAGGTCGCGGTGAATTGAACGGATCAGTAAGCGTTCACGTTGCACAGCGCAGACAACTAAACGTATTTGGCCCAAACTTAGCGATACGTGTCGTGCACTACGCCTTGGAGGACAGCGGCATCGGTGCTCGAACAGTCACCTCCGCGGGCTTCATGACTCCTTCCATAATTCCACACAACTTGTGGAAAGATCCTCGAGTCGTGCGAAAGTTCGCTCTCCAGTCGTCGTCATCCGATACGGTGAAAACAGAAGACGTTGTTTCTGCTCTTCATCCAGAGCTCTTCCAGACCTTTGCGGTACAATGGCAGAGTTCAACAATATATTGTTGGTCAGAATTAAATTCTCCATGTACCTTCGGCGACGGCGTCTTCTCTCCGTTATCGAATCAGCCAATAGCGCCATTCGCATTCGCCGCGCTCCTGTTAGCATCACGCACACATAGTCTTTCTTTCAGATCCATGGATCTGAAAGAAAGACTATGTGTGAAAGAAAGACTATGTGGGCAGAGCCAACAAAGGCTGCAGCCTTTGTTGGCTCTGCCTACATTCAGGAGAGCCTGCCCAAAGGCAACCTAGTGGGCGATGACGATAAGATTTACTTCTTCAGCGAAGCAGGAAAGGAGTTTGATTTCTTTGACAAGACCATTGTGTCCCGCATTGCTCGTGTGTGCAAGGTGAGGAACGGCTGGAGGCAGATGATCTCCGTAAAGGGAACTTTTTTCCCCTTAAGCAACATATCCTGTATTTTTGCAATTCATGTTTTTGTGTTCCTATACATGATCTTTCTGGGCAGGATCTCTTGTTACAGAAAAACATTCCTCCCACACGTTTGCCTCTATTTGATTATTTTTCCCCAAATGCTCTCTTCCCTCTATTCTTATCGTGTTTCACCAAATATTTGCCCCCGTCAAAACGTAACATATAGTGTAGCACCAGATCCGTGGGCAGAATTGGATTATCACAAGTTGAAATATTAAACCTGGCGCTTTTAAACTAAAATGCAGACCACACACAGTCTTTAATGTGTTGTCAGTTCTGTAAACCTCATTAATTCCCCAAACCAGTTTTAAAGATCAGACTGTTGCTTGTCTGTGGAAATAATCAGGTTTACCACAGTCTAAGGATACTGACAAACTGTTTGACAGTAACACCAGTGTGTGGGGTATTTGGACCTTTTGTTTGTATTTCAAACTTGTCCTGTGACACTGTGACGTGTTTTTTGTACAGTTTCTTTCTTTACATTTTTTCATTATATTTGACCACAACCTGCTGAGTACTGGCATTTGTCTAGGCATTTGTCCAATAGAGGGCAGCAGGTATTCACTCACCACACCAGGCCGAGGCTCAGGGACCGGGTGATTGTACGTTTACCACAGCTGAGTCTCCCTGTTGACCTCACGGTAGCGCCCATTGAACGCCTTTTCCACCTGGTCCATGGTGAAGGAGCCGGTCTGTTTTTTTTATGGCCGATTGAGTTTCAGTCAGACGCTACCCCCAGCTTTACATCCTCTGCATCTTAAAGCAATTATCCACTCAGTTTTTCCATCCAAAATAAAACACTTTTGACACAATGATATACTCCTGAACATACAAGGGATGCTTTAACAAGGGATTAATGAACGTGATGCATTTGCTTCACGTTTCAGAAGTTGGTTTAAGCACAGTAGCATTAAAGTATAAAACCAGGTCCAGCCAGGAAGACTGGAGAGTATCCTGTATGCTGCTCATTAACAGCCTGGGTTACTGCAATAAGTAGCTGCTGGTCATGTGCCATTCCCCCTCTGGTTTGAGGCTGCCATTTAGTCTGATTAATGTCATTCTAAAGTGGACCCCATTGAAGTTTCCAGTTAAAAGGCTTTTACGTGGTTTAGATCATTTAGTAGTTCTCTTTGGTCCCCTGCACATTTTTAATTCTACTTCTTTCTTCCAGCAGCCAACTTTCATCTTGTTAGATCTAAGACTGTGAGCAACCCCAAATAATTGTTGCCATGGACTGAATGTGAACAGACAGTCCGGTTGCTGCAGGACATCGCCCTCCCCCTTAAATGCATAGTCTTTTTTTTGCAGAAGTAGACTTTTGTCGTTTCTATCTGTAAAGCATCGGTAGCCATCTTTCCAAGAAGTAGCTGCACTCCGATTTGCACAGATACCCTGTCATACCCCTGCGTAGTCAAATTAGTCAGCATGTCAGGAGGTCCCGCGTGCCACACCGCTTTGAAGGCTCGTGCCGAAGGCACTGAATCGCAGCGGTAGTGTCAGTAAAGAAGGATTGCCGGGGACCAAAGCGTCGTTTTCTATTTCATTTAAAAGCATTTGCCCTCCCTCAAAGCCCTGAGTGATGATGTGCATTGTTTTCATGACCTACAAGTCTGCTGCCTCTGGGTATCGCTGTGTTACGGGCACATTGTCTTTAGCTCATTATGATTTTACAACACAAGGTTTTTCAGTTATTTCAATTCAAAAAGCTTCACCTCTGGACATATTGTGTTTGTATATCGTGGTATGTGAGGTATGCCACATACCATATGGTGCACACTATTATTTCATGCCCTTTACATGCCTGTCACATCCAATCGCGTCACGCTTCAGTATCAAATCACGTTTTTGTTTCAGAGGTATTTTCTATCTCCTCAGACAGGTGTCAATCTTATATTTGTGCACCCTCTACTGGCCACATGTTAAACAGCTCCACACCTTCAACACGTGTGTTGCAGGGTGACATGGGAGGTGAGAGGGTCCTGCAGAAGAAATGGACGACCTTCCTGAAGGCGCAACTCTTGTGCACTCGGAGGACATGGCCGGACGATGGCTTCCCCTTCAACATTATCCAAGACATGTTTGTGCTGACACCCAGCCCCGAGGACTGGAAGAACTCTGTGTTTTATGGAGTCTTCACGTCTCAGTGGTGAGGACCGACCTCCACTGCTTTGATTAATAATTCACCAAACTAATGTGGTGATGCCTTCGGATATGTAATGCAAATATGGCACGGGCGAGGCATTTTAATACATCTTTGTCTGATGAGTTCTATGGAAGTGCAGAGAGGAGATGCTTTGTATCAGATTCAGCTGCCAGTTACCATCTTTCCTCCAATAGGCAGTTAAATAAGGCCGCAGTGTTTCCAGTAGTTTAGGTTTTCTTTGTAAAACATTCCCTCTAAAATCTCAAGATTAGACTGTGATGAATAATCAGTGAGTATTGTTGAGATGCTTGTTTGTGTCTTTTAAGGTATAATGGTGCTTCGGGAAGCTCTGCAGTGTGCTCCTTCACCATGGACCAGGTGGAAAAGGCGTTCAATGGGCGCTACCGTGAGGTCAACAGGGAGACTCAGCAGTGGTAAATGTACAATCACCCGGTCCCTGAGCCTCGGCCTGGTGTGGTGAGTGAATACCTGCTGCCCTCTATTGGACAAATGGCTGCCAGTACTCAGCAGGATGTCATGTCAGCTTTTAAAGCTTCATCCATTCCCCTTTGGCTCACCAGTCAGTCCTAAAAAAAATAAATTACTGTTTTAATTTCTAGGCCAGGCGAGCTAGAAACATTGAGGTGCTGCACAGCTGCAGTATGTGTCTTTATATGTGATGGGATGTTTTAAAGGACTCTATTTTGCCACAGTGCATCACGAATGCTGCCAGGGAAGACGGCATCTCCTCCTCGCTGCACATGCGGACAAGGTGCTGAATTTCGTCAAAGACCACTTCCTGATGGACAGCGTGATCCGCAGCCAGCCTCTCTTGCTGAAGCGCAATGTTCGCTACACGCAGATCGCCGTCCATCTGGTGCAGGCAGCAAAAAAGGCATATAATGTGATCTTCATTGGCACAGGTAGGACACCCCTGACCCTTAATGACACATTAAGTATCTTTATTGAAGAATATCATTTCTCAATATTCGCAAAGAGTTCAATCTAATCTCAAGCTATGCTGCCTTCTAGATGATGGGAGACTTCATAAAGCCATTAATGTCAACAACAAGATGCACATCATTGAGGAGATGGTGATCTTCCGTGACAGTCAGCCGGTACAACACAATGAGCTGGACACTGAAAAGGTATAGTGTGGAGTGCTGAGAGGAAAACCGCCCCAGCTTGTTTTATAGAGCTTTGGCATGGTGTGTACTAACAGCAGGCGCAGTAAAGGCATCTGTGGCAGTTTGCAAATACAATGAACCAATAAGATTAGCAGCCTGAAGCAGACTTCATGTTGAATTAGCTCATTAAATGCAACTTTGCCCAGAGGATCTGAAAAGAGCTTGTGTTTTAACTGCTGGAATAGTGACACTTCTTGAATTCTAGCTTGTCTTTGATACTCAAAGAAATTCCCACAGAGCTGGTATTCAGAAGAACTAAATGTCCCGCACTCAGATTAGTAAAGGACAGAAAACATTCTCAAATAAATAAATAACACTTTTGTCTTTTCTGTCCCCGGCTTTGTCATCTCTCCCCCACAGGATCAGCTTTATGTTTCATCGTTCTCTGAATTGGCGGCGGTCCCAGTAGCCACTGCACTAATTATCAGAGTTGCGGGGAGTGTATCCTCTCCAGGGATCCTTACTGCGCTTGGAACGGGAGGCTGTGTGTGGATGTCAGACGGGCTGCAGCAAGCAGGTACGCATCCCTCTGCTCAACGATCTACATTGGTACAGCGACAGCTTTTGAGACAAACGCGTCCATCGCATGTAAACTGTGGTGGAAATTTGTGGATTTAGCCCATGTGAGAAATCAAAAGTATCTTGAGCTTGCTTTGTGATTAAGTATTTATTACTAACTAGAACATAGGAAAAAGATAAAGAATATAGAAATCATCAGCACAAGTCGTAAGCACAGACAGAAGTCAAATGACTACAATTCAGCTGAAAAGGGACAGATGTTCCTTCCCCCAAAAGGAGCAGGAAGATCTGACCAAGTTGAAGAGGAGAACAGGAGCTTATATACACTTCAGGGAGGTTTGTGCTGCCTCAGCACAGGAGAGCCCACCCCTCAAGAGGAGTGTTGGAAAAGTACCAGATGATGTAGGGGTGACCCTGTGACCCTCCCTTTATGGACCCAGACAATCAACAACATCTAAAAGGTCAGTCAGGGCACGTATGATTTCATCTGTGTCTTATCTCACCCTGGACTGCCTTAAGTCACCGGCTCACATCAAAGGTCACATGCCTGAGAGCCTCACCCCACGCAGGCTCAACAATTTCCCCCCAACATAAACAAAAAGTGGTTTCTGATTAAATACGTGTGTTTTTCAGTGCCTTGCAGCAGGACGTAGACGAAGCTGACACATCAGCTGTTTGCAACAAGGCGGTGGCGAGCCCACGGTTAGCCAGACCTCCACCTGCACGTAAGTGAAATACTTTTACAGTTCAATCTTGAGTCTTGATTTTGAATCTGAAACGATCTACGCCTGCATCCGCAGGAATGTCCTCGTGCCAGGTGATCGTTATCCCGGCCAACACGTTCCAGGTACTCCCTTGCCAGCTGCGCTCTAATTTGGCTGAAAGGCGGTGGGAGTTCAGCGAGAGCGCAGGTCACTTCCATTACCCCAGCCAACAGGGGGGATTGGTAGTGGTGGCCCAAGCCGACCGGCAGGAAACCTACGAGTGCTGGTCGGTGGAGGAAGGCTTCAGACAGCTGTTGGCCAACTTCTGTGTGAGGGGCGAGGCCAAGCAGGAGAGCACCACGCTGAGAGGGCGCTCGCGTCCCCCGCAGGTGTCCCAGGGGAAGATCCTCACCCTGCCGGAAGACGCCCGCTCGCCGCAAATCGACACCAAGACCTACTTCAATGAGCTGATTGTGGTGTGTTCCCTCCTGGCGTTTTCCCTGCTGGTCTTCTGTCTGCTTGCGGTCTTCAAGAACCACGGTGACGTGAAGTCAATGCTCAAGAAGGGAGAGCGGGCCAACATGCAGCAGAAGAAGCCCAGAACAGTGGGGAAACCGGCCGAGAACTTGCCGCTGAACGGCGACGCCGTCCCAGCGTCGGTGTCGGATCGCAACGGCTACCAGACCCTTAACGACAACTACATCTGCAGCACTCCGCCGCACGAGGGCCCGTCGCCCGACAACAGCAGGGGCTTCTCAGAACCGGAGAACAAGCCTCCAAACTTGAGAGAGAGTCATGTAGAGGTTTCTCCCACGTGCCCTCGGCCAAGAGTCCGACTGGGCTCCGAGATTAAAGACTCCATAGTTTGAGGGCTCTGTGCTGTGCCGAGGGACTCGTCGTGGAACTGAGAGGAGAGAGTGCACTTGCAGAGAAAGACAAAAAACCCCGACAAGAGGGAAAACTGAGGATCATTCAACTTTTCATGGAGTGACATTTCATGTCACAGATTTTGCACTTTTTGTTCTGTCCCTATTTTCCTTCTCACTGCCTCTTATTCAAGTGCATTTGAAGCACACTGAAGATGTTCCAGATTGCCTTCAGACTTTTTACGCTTTCACTGCGGCTCAAAGAAATGTAACAATTGAGGCGGTGGAGCCACAAATAAGTTTCAGTGATTTAATATCAAAGCATTGCCGCTCAGCTCGTCCATATAATCTAATGGTAATGCTATGAAATGCACAGTGATATTCAAACATGTTCTCCCTAACAACTTATAGTGTTTATTTACATCCTGTTATCTGGTAAGAGCCGACCCTTTGCTGAGGCCATGCACTATGTACTAAACTGTAGAAAGGTAAACACTCACACCAGAATGCCAACTACCGGTGGCAGGCGGGAACAGAAATAGATTTCTTTTTTATGGCTAGTTTGCATTCACAGAAATATACTGATTATTTAGGCTTGAATATAACACTGCAACATAGAAATAATTGAGAGTAGAAAATATTTTATAAATACATGTTTTTCTTGTTAAACTTTTAAAGAGAACATGAACAATAAGTCACCTCAGTGGAACTGTTTTAGATATTTTTACCACCTCGATCCCACACACACACACCAAAAACAAACAATATATGGTCATAGATCAAGACATGCTATGTTTTTAAGTATTGGTATTATAGTGGATACAAATATTCCTCTGTCAGAGCCTGACTTTCAACAAGGTTTTGAATGTCATTCCAGGTATTATCATGCTGTATGAGATATGCAGTCTATGCAAAGCAAATAATGTGAATTAGGGTGAACATCAAGACAACCTCACCTCGAGACTCGCTTGGCACAAAAGTAATGGTGCTGTTAATTATTTTAGGATCAGTGGCCCTGCAAACACACACACGAGCTGTCATCACACTAACGCTAAGTATGCAAAAGATGTGAGATATTTTGCTCTATTTTAGTGCAGAAATAATAATAAAAATATAAATAATACACCTATTCATAATCTGATTTAAAGAACACATCTGTATAGCCTCAACTTTTATGTGAATTTAGCGTTAATAAATGGAAGAAAATGGCCTCCGCTTGCTTAGATGGTTTTTAAAGGCAACCATAAAAGCAATCATTTTCATTCTCATCCAGTAATAAACATATTGTGCATTTTAATAATCTTGATTAGTCAATTCACAAATAGTGAATTATAAAGCATATGTTTTGTCTGTGATATGTTGGAATAACTTAATAGCATTTAATAGCATATTATTTAAGTCTTACCTGATTTGAGCCCTAGTCTTGTTATGTGGGCAGCAAAACTAATATTTCGCAAAAATGCAGGAAGGCATTTTCCATGACTCATAGGATGCAGAGGATTTGCACATGATGTTGAAAAGCCTTAGTATAATGCAGGTTATGGATTTGATAACAAATCTTAAACGGATAATGCCTTCTGAAACAATAATCAAGAGTTGTGCCTCTTGGAATGACAAACTAAGCAGGTAGTAGTGCCGTAGAGTCAAACGCTACACTGAAAGGGTGAGAGGACAGACTAATATAATACTGTAATACTAATGTAATACTGTCACGTTGGTACAGTACATGCTCACAAGGTATTTATCTTTTATTTAATGTTTGTCAGTGGCTTCAACTTTAGTCAGGTACAACATTTTATTCTAAAACTGTAGCACATGAAACACCACTGGATTATTTTAAAGTACTGAATTATTGGTACGTTTTATGTTACATTTATTGTAAACGGCACTGAAAAAATGACTCAAAGACTGGTCAACTATTAAGATTCATGCTTAGACTGTTAGTAAAAACAAACGGCAGCTTCTAGTGAAGTGGCTGTCAGAACAATATACAATCGCAGTAGAAGAAGAAGAAATACTAAGTGGCAGTGACTTAGTGAAACATGTGCAGGTACTGAACATGCTAACAAGAAGCCTAACATATTAATGCCACAGTGAAAGTATCGTTGTCTGCTATCTCTTAATAAACCACTATAGTCTTGCCTTTTATTTGTGACCGTACAAATTGCTCAATCTTGTCAACGTGTAAGAAAAATATTTTTTTAATGTAAAATTGTTTTGTAAATTCAGCTGCCAATGTAAAATATTGTGAATTGTATTTTTTTGTATCATACATCACTAGTGTTTGTTTTTTTCTTTTTTGTATTGTATATAAAAAGCAAAAACGTCCCATTATTATATCAAGCCCTACTGTTACATTCCTCTGCATAAATGTTACGATTTTTTAAAGTGTTGCTGACCTCATCAAATAGGGTGGAGTCAGAAGCGGTGCAAACCAAGGGGAACAAAGAGGAGTGTCTGATAAAACTTGCACTACACACCTTAAAGGTAAACAGAGGCTAGCGCTTGCGTATCTGTTGTGTGTGTGTGTGTGTGTGTGTGTGTGTGTGTGTGTGTGTGTGTGTGTGTGTGTGTGTACATTGTATGACAGTTGTACGCTGAGTTATGAAACCAAATACCTACATGGTAGGTGGCTGCTGGGGGGGGGCATCACCTGATAGAGCCCCGGAGGGAAGGGGCACATTGGGTGCGTTGATGCGGATAGATCCCGCCCACAATGAGATGTGGACCAATGAGCGGCTGCAAAACAACACCCGTGAGACTTTAACGCGCGTTTTTTTTTGTTTTGTTTTGATTTCGGCTGGCACGTTGCCGAAGTCGCCTCGCGAGAGAAGTGCTGGATTTTTTTAAATTTTATTTTTAGATTTTTCAGTGTGTTTTTTACCTTTAAAAGAAGACATATGGAGCGCCTCAGCCTCGGGAGATTATTCTCCGCGTGCGACGTGAACAAGTCCGGTAAGATAGAGTACGATGACTTCACCGCGGTCTGTCGGGAGCTCAACGTCTCCGAAACCGAGGTCAGAACCCTGTTCGACAAGTTCGACCCGGACGAGGACGGAGGCATCGATTACGGCAGGTTTGCGTCCAGGTTCCAGGACGTCTCGGAGACTCTGGACTTCTCGTCCCTCGGCGCGCGCGGCGGCCCGTGGGAAGAGTTTGAAAGCCGGATAGATGCTGAGGCTTTCCTCCCCGAAAGGTGAGCCCACATCCCCGCCTACACCACGCAAACATTCGTTTGCTGTCAGTAAAAAAAAACAAAAAAACAGCTGATGTGGCACCTGCTCCTGGTGCTATTTCCTTATTTCATAGACCAGCTGAAAATACGCATTTATTTCGAATTTTTCCAGCGTGTCGGATTGTCCTTGCTGGTGACTCAAAGCACATGCAGCTGCGTCACTTTAAATAAATGAAGACATATCTGCAATGCAAACAGTAGGCAAAGCCATTTGAACACCAACGACACATTTCGTTAGTAACTTTTCCCCCCAAGTTCAAATGGCCGAATGACAAATCTTAACTCGAGGTGTACCGGGAAACCTTTTCAAGAGCTTAACTTGTCCTCAGGGGCCCAAGTTAACAGGTGATCCAGTTAAGAGCCATAGAACACTACTGAAAAACGCCATTATTACTACTAACTGTTAAGGAAAGCATCCTGTCATCAGATAAATCTTATGTTGTACATGCTTTTGTTGTATGGCAACTTATTATCAAAGGTGGCTGATGAAAACTGAACATAAATTTGATGTGTTTAAGGGCTTTAACATTTGGGATGGACACATTGTAAATATTCTCTCCAGTTGTTTTGGACCGTACTACATGAGAAGTGTAGGTGGTGCTCATTCTTTTTGGTTCAGGTCATATCGTAGAGTTTTATTGCTCGTTCACCTTTTTAGCCAAATAGTATGATGCTGATGAATTGAACAAACTTGTTTTCTTCATTAAATGTCATTTCTGTTTAAGTTTGGAGAAGTTTATACAATGTCTTAATTCTATATTTTACCGCTTTTGTTTGTTTTGATCTCATTTTTTTTTCACTTTTTACTTTACTCAGCTGTTTTGTAAAAAGGTGAAATATTTCATAAAAAAGTACATGATATGTGATACAAATGTTGATGTATAGAACATTTGTCTCTGACAGTCTCCGGGAGCAGCTGGCTCATCTTTATCAGGCCATTCACTCTTCTGCGAAAACAAATCTACTGCAGCACTATGAGGAAATCATCCACTCGCTGATCAGCCAGAGCCAGGACAACCGACTGGAGTGTGAGCAGCTGGAGACCAGTATTAAGCGGTGAGGGTCAGTTAAGAGCATGCGACCTGTGAAACTGATTATGAATTAAAAGCCCATTATTGTAAACACATCACACAAACATGTGCCTTTAATGGGAGCGGTGACGTCCAGTATTATCAATGCAAAGGTTTTTTAAAGTTTTGTTTGAATTTATTTAATTAATCATAAATCAGCTTAATACCCTTACTGCAACTAACTTTTTGTAGCCGTCTTTCACCCACAGAGCAGTGGTGAACTGCTGCCCTCTAGTGGCTGTAAACCATAGAAACTGAGGACAAACTCTCTGAATTGAGTCCACTGCACCTACTCTGATTGACTGCTTGATTGAAAGCCACCTGATTAGATTTCAGACCATCGGACTTGAGTGCAGAATAACATAAAAGCACACGGAGCCTCAGACTTTGTTCCAGCCAAACGTTGATTGGGCCCGTCTGCCTTTTAGGGCTGAATAAGAAGTCATTTGTGTTATGGAGATCGAGATTAGCTCAAAATAAAAACACTTATTACTTCTTCTTTGTGAATTTTCACTATGAGCAATGCTATCTGTTATTTGAGTCGATGTAAATATCGGTTCAAGTGTTATTAACAGTTATTGAGCCTTCCTCCTGTTGCTGTAACTTAGTATGCGTCCTGCTAGCTGGCAAATTGTATTAACATAATATATGATCAGCAATCAACAATGTTTCTGTGGTCACACCTAGTTCTGGTAGTACTAGATTTACTTTATTAGAAAAAGAAATTAGCATAAATTAGCTATAATAACTATAATCTCAGCGGTTATTGATGTTCAAGCTAGACAGTGATTTTATACACTATATTTTAGATGTTATGTCTGTTAAATGTTTAGCTTTAGTTTTTTAAAACTCAATATATTGCAAGCTTTTCTAACTGTTTCCACTTTATTGAAATTAACTGACCCTTTTACGTATTGACATTAAAGCCTAAACCAAAGAAAAATAAATCGCACGTCAGGCATTTTTGCGTAATTTGTCTGACAGACAACATTAAGCACACGCCTCTCTCTCCCTCGACTCCGGTTGGTTCGCGTGTTGCAACAAGCGACGAGGTGGCAACTGCAGCACGTTTAGAAGTCCGGTACAATCGAGACAATAGATAGAAGGTGAATTATTTCGGCTTTGTTGGTGCCTGGAACTCCTGTTGGACAGCCGGCTCCGCTTTGGTGAGACCAAACTCGAGCGTAACTTTCTGCGTCAAAACAGAGCCGATGAGATGAACAACAGTCAGCTGTCCGAACTGGAGGACGACATAAAGCAGCAGCTGGCCAAAACCGAGGAGAGGGTGAGAGACGAGGTGAGTCTGACCCCTACATCCTAGAGGACCATGTGTCTTACCACATCCAACCAAATAAAACTGCAGCATCTATTCAACATGCGCACTGAGAAACTGCCAAAAATGCATCAAAGTGAAAATGTCCCTTCAGTGGCTCCTGTGTGCTGCTTGCATGTTTTTGGTGCAGCACATGGTAGCAGGTTACAAGACTCCTCACAAAGAGCCTTTGAATAGGCAGGTGAAAGCCCCCTCTTCAAGCCCTGGCCGCTCTGCACTGTTTAACTACTTCGGTTGTTTGTAGGAACGTAAAAAAATGGAAGGACTTATGGCGGCCGTGCAAAGGAAGCACAAGAACGAGGTCACGGACCTGCATGCAACTGTGGACAGACTGTTAAAGGTAGGTTTTTACCCCGCAGCATGCTTTTATTTTTATTCCAGAGAATTCTGTGACTGAAAGGCAAGACTGTTTTTAGGTCCAACTCGTGAACCGCGCTAGTAAAACGATACTGTTGGTAAAACACCATTGTCATGGTTGCAGATTGCAAAGACTAATATCAAGAAGTTTAAAGAAAGGCTCAGAAATCTGTTGTTCGTGTAGAAACACTGACACATAAATCCTTGATAACCATTTCCACAGAGCGTGCAAACACATTTACTTGAGCTATTGATTGCATGGCAGTATTATTCTATTAATTACTAAACTAAAGCAAACATTTACAGTGTCTCTACATTTTAGACTTAATAAAACAATTCAAACACAATACCTGTTTGGTGTGTAATTAGGACATCATAACTGCAGGTCATTTTTTAACAAGATGCTTGTGTAAATGTCTATTCTCAAGAGCCAAGAGGACTCTGAATTCAACCATTCAAAGGAGGAAGTGGACACACTGAACACACGTATCACAGGTACTTCATGCCAGAGTTGTCACACCGAGTGAAAAGTAGTGTGTTTTGAGTTGAAGTTATTCACGTAATCTTCTCACAGCAAAACGAGGACCTGCGAACCTCTCTGCTGCAAGCCCAGACGGACAGCGCCGTCTTGCACTCGGAGCTGGACAAGCTGAAGAACATGTACGCGGACCAGAAAGCTCAACATAAAAGGTGAGGCAGTGTATTTACGCTCTGCTCACGTCTGTTGACACAAAAGTTTGATCCAGCTTCCAGCACGACATCAACGGTACACGTGGCTTTCGTTCCTTTACAGAGAAAGCGATGAACTGAAGAGGATGGTTATGGAATACCAGTTGTATTCAAACCAGATTCAGATTCTCCAGTAAGTCACTTGTTGACATGAACACTTTTTTTTTTTGGCAGCGTATTTGGTCATTTTATAGTCTGTTTGTGTTGCCTTTAAATTTTGATTACATCCTTTATTTTGGTTTGGGTCATCAAAATTTGAACAATCTTCATTTCCATCGTCTATGTAGACACAATGGATAGCTTTGTTTTAATTGCTCAGGCTTTCAAAAAACTACCAAATACCAAAATATAGTGGATTAAAATGCATAGTAAATGATTTTTAACACACTTAAATAATATCCGATGTCTCTGAAAATTCTAATAAAAAAATATACTTTAAGGAAGATTTAAAACTGTTGATATACTTTGATTACCAGAAGAACAGGTTTTAGTCTGTTTACTGGGGAGCGCAGAGTGCAGGAAGTGGATAATAAAACCAAACGTGTCTGTTAAATAGTATCACGATAAACTACATGTAACTTAGTCTTCTATTTCCTTGAACACTTCATTAGGGAAACAAACAAAATGCTGTATGACAGCAACGACGGGCTCCGCTCTGCGTTGGCCAGCGAAGCGGTTGCAGCTAAAAGGAGGGTGAGTCCTCACACCCGCTGGCTCTCAGTCAAACGAAAACTCGCACTGAATCGCTCTCACTAGCTCCAAGTGTAAAGGTTTCCTCCCTAGCAACATTCCTTATCTTCTCCGCAGCGGTCTCCTCAAAATGAAATCCCAGCCCGCAGGATGAAGCCCCTCCGACAGAGCACGCTCAACCACGGCAGGTATACAACGTCCCTTTTGCACACTTCTGTGACTCTGCCGGTTGATCTTCCCGTGAATTAAATTGTCACAGCTAAAAGCAAGTGTGTCGGCGCTTGCAGCCCGGAGCAGGATCCCGGCAAAGCCAGCTACTCTCATGTGGCCACCTGGGCCGATAAGTACCTCGACAGCGGCGTCTCCCTGCCGATGGACACGGCCGAGAGCTCAGGCAGTGATTACGACAGCGGCGCCGATGATGATGACGACGACGACGACGGGGGGGCCTCAGTGGAAACCGTGCACCACAGTTACTCCTACGTCCTGTCTGATGTGGAGGTGAGAACGCACGGCGGGTGTAGGTGGCCGGTCCGGTAATGCCGATGTAACCCTGAGCTGTCGCTTAAAATGAGTTTTATTCTGTTGCAGGTATCAGAAGTGAAATCTGAATCTGCGGCGAAGATGGCTCGTAGCAAGGCGAGCTCTATTGCGTCATCTCTACGGAGACGTTTGTCGGCCTTTTCCACAAAGGTACGATTACTTAACTACTTTAATCATTTTAATGCGTTGCTGTTTAAAAGTCGAAAAGGTGTGTGTGTGTGTGGCTCTCTCTCTCATCCAATCATCTTTCAACCTATAATAATTAGACTGCAACCACCAAGTTGGGAACCATTGATGTACCTTCAGTATTCATTTAAAGTCCATAGATATCCATTTAAATACTTTATTTCAGTAAACATTTGAACCACATGTGGAAATGGGGTTATTCAAATGCTATACAGAGAGTTTTATCCAACACACAAAGCTATTTTTTCCAACCAAATTCTTTTTGTAGTCTAGTTATCTACTGACATTTCATTTAAAACTCAACTCAAGGTCTACTCACTAGGTTTTTATGGAGGTTTCCTGTCCAGCTTTATCAGCAGATTGAGTTTGTTCAGTTGAATACTCACTGTTTTCACGCCACAAAGGCAAAGAGTACATTGGTTATCTTCTGCTGCTCTTCCGAAGCCTTTAGAAGCCGACCTAGAGGAAACCACGGAGCCTGCCCCAATGTTCCGCCTGGTTCTAGCAGGAGACGCGGGAGCCGGAAAGTCCAGCTTCCTGCTGAGACTGACGCTCAACGACTTCAGGGGAGACATTCCGACAACGCTGGGTAAACGCTACACAAAACACGCTGCGTTTCCTCAAACACTGACACATTCTGAAGTTCAGGTGTTTTGAATCTGCTCGGTTTTCTCAGGTGTGGATTTCCAGATCAAGCGGATGCTGGTGGATGGAGAGAAAACAAGCCTGCAGATCTGGGACACAGCCGGGCAGGAGAGGTATTGCACCCACTCCCACAGTTTGTTGTCTAACAAAAACACACTGTTACAAATTAAAACTTGAGATATGTTCTTTTGATAATGACAGAAGTCGCTGTATTTCTTTCGACCGCAGGTTTCGTAGCATCGCGAGGTCTTACTTCCGTAAAGCTCACGGAGTGCTGCTCCTCTACGATGTCACTTCAGAGAGCAGCTTCCTCAACGTCAGAGCGTGGGTGGATCAGATCCAGGTAACTGGCAAAAAGATGATTGACAAAACGCCCTTAAGGGAAAATACGGAACCTGTAGGCAGTAAAATTCACAGTGTCCTTTTTTTGTTTTCATACAGGATTCAACGGAAGACAAAATCCCCATGTGTGTTATTGGAAACAAGGTGGACCTGAGGGAGCAGCTCCCAGAAGGCAGCTGTGTGAGCAGTTTGCACGGAGAGAAGTTGGCCACGGTGCGTAACCTTTCATTCCACCGGGACAGAAAAGTAGCGGCGCCCGGCCTCCAAATAAACTGACTGCGGTCCGGTTATGTTGATGCTTTTTGCCTGCAGGCGTACGGCGCCTTGTTCTGCGAGACGAGCGCCAAGGAGGGAACCAACGTGGTAGAGACTGTGCTCCATCTGGCCAGGTAGGATGCCACACAGAGCGCTCGAGCTGTTCCCACGAGCCTCAAAGCAACGCTTTGACCGCTTTTCCCTTCCGCAGAGAAGTAAAGAAAAGTGTCAAACTGAGGAGGCAGTCGTTCTCTCAGGTCCGACTGAGTCCATCCAACCCGAAGAAGACTCTGAACGCCTGCTGTGGCCTGTAGAAGGTCCAGAGCACTAGATACGGTGGAGCAATGAAGGACACAAAGTGATTTATATTTTGTGAATATTTTTAATCTTTGGCATGTTTAACTCTTGGTATATAATATATTTTCATAAATGTTACTTCTCTGATCAAAAGTAAGATTTCTATTGTTGGAAAATTGCACAATTACAAAAACAAATGTACGTATTGTAATCATGTTTTCTTTTCTTTAGGTTTTTTTTATTTATTTGGTAGTCATTTCATAAATTAAATAAATAATAATCTTTTATTTGAGACTCATGTCGAATAGTATTTTTAAATAAATGTTCCCCTTTGCGACCAAATTTGGGTCTTAAGAAATCAAAAGTGCATTTTTAACAATTTTATTAAGCATCCGCGTGATCGAGATAACATCGCAGTTTCGAAAACCTTCAAAGATTACATTCTTGACAAAAAGTTCCTGGATCACTTTTGTTGTGTTTTTATCACTTTTCCAAATAAACAGACATCTGGAAAGATGAAATCTTTGCTGGTATTTACTTGACAGTAAACTTCAACTTCACTTCAGCAGTAAAAAAAAAACTCTTTACAAATGAATTAATGAGGACTTGAACAAACAGACAACGTCAGTTTCTCGCCGTCAGGATCAGCGACGTCACTAAACTGCTCAAGGCCACAACCAGCGCGCAGAGTATACACTTCCAGGACGTTCCCTGAAAAAAACAAAATGCTTTGTCAGAATCCCATCTGCTGCCTATCACAATAACGCATCGGCGATATTAATCTTCTTACAGATTCTTTCTTCTTTGAGGGAATCAGAAAAGGTGTGATATTCTCTCCAAGCAGCTCCGCTGGTTTAGGTTTCCACCCTTGAATATCTCTGCCTCCTGACTGCCTTTTGACCAGTTTAGATAACTCAACGTGGATCGCCTGAAAACAAAAAACAAAAACGTTTAACAAGTGCTTCAAAAGCTGCTTTCTGTAGTTCTTTTAATGGAGTCATGAACCATTTTTATACTGAGCTAAAGGCAAGGCCGCAGTTCTGAAAACATCCACCAGGGGAGAGCAGAGGTCTGAACAGACACTGTTTTTTTCTTGTGATTTGCAGCACTGGGACCAAAAAAAGTTCCGGATTAATATATTTTGTATGAATTAAAGAATATATATAAAGCCATACAATTTGTGTTGGAAGGTGATTATCAAGAATATTGTATGAAAAAATATATAACAATTTTAGAATAAATATTTATTATATATATTTTCTCTGTCACCATTACTTTGTGTTGATTGGTTTATCCAGTAGCTGTAATAGTAAATGCAGCCTGTTTTTTAAGTGACCTCTTCCTCTGTGAGGGATGGAGGGGGATTGACTGGCCAACCCACGTGATCTCACCTTTGTGGCCGGCTCCAGTTTCAAGGCCCTTTTTAGCACCTCCATTGCCTCTTCGTATTCCCCCATATCTGACTGGAGCTGGAAGAGAAAAAACGTCCGGTGTGATCAGGGATGCTGGACTCATAAAGAAACACACAGGGCAATAACAAAGCCGCTGTAAAATCTATGTCCATTAAACCGATTATTAGTTCTTCCAAGAACTCTCCCTTTCACATATGGCTTGATAAAGATCAAATTAGAAGGAGGGACATTGTCTCCTGGTAATGAGACAGCCGCGCGGGGCCCCTCACCTTTCCCAGCCTGAAAAGGGACTTGACGTTATTTGGCTCGAGGGTCAGAACGTCCCGGCTGGTGTGCAGCGCCTCGTCGTAGCGCTCCAGCTTGAGCTGAGCGGTGGCCAGGTTGTTCAAACACTTCACCCGGTAGTCCCGCACCTCCTCCTCCTCCTCCTCAACCTTCTCGCCGCCATCTGTGCAAAGACGGAGACACGCCACCTCTGACATCTGCTCTGCTGTGGACGTCCAACCTATTTCTCTTAATTGGTGACACAAAAACCACTTTGGCGGAGATTAGTTATCTAATCTTGCAAGTGATTTGCAGGATATGGAAAATATAATGTTAGATATTCAGATGGATATTGTATTGATATTGTGGCAACATCTGTATGGTTTCATCATTAGACCCAAGCATGTCCAGCTGAATACAGTAGTGGCCGCAGTAATGAGCCCTTATTCATACAAAGGAACTTTCACCCTTGGTAATGGGGGGTAAATATCAGCAGCTCTTGGACCACATCTGTGTGGATGCACAAGCTTTTTATCTCACGTTTAATTAATGCTGATTCTCGCAAAATATTTGTCAGTGACATTATATAGTGATTAAGTTTATTGTGTAATCATTTTATTTTTATAAAGCATGTGAATATTTATAATTGCTTATAACCATTACTAGATGGTGCTAAGCAGATTTTTAATACATTATAACTTGGTTAATTGTACATTGGCATCATAAAAAGGTATTATCAAAATGCCTTTCCTAATTTTGTTATTTTTTTGGAATGCTGTTCAAATGCTTTTAAATTGAATCCCTTTAAGATGGCAAAATGATGAAGTCTAATGTTAATGCAAGTGCATGTTCAGCTTGTAGTGATTTCTAATTTCCACATGTGATGAATGATTCTAGTAAAATATGTCTGATGGGCCTCAAAAAGAGATGAGATGTGTACATTTCTACTTGTTTACTGTTATTATTTTTGGGTGGTCTTCTCGTCCACTGACGACATGATCTCGATGGGCTGATAAACCTCTCTCTGCAGTGCCACACCGAGTTCGCTCTCTGGCCCTCGATCATTGAAGCATTATGATGCAATCCATGTTTTTCTCCTCATTGTTCGGTCACATTTCCCTCTCGGGCCCTCCCTGCCTCGTCAATGATTACAACAATTAAGGAGGTGGAAATAATATGAATTTTGGTTAGCATGGTGACAGTGTGATTAGTGTGTTGGCAGACTGCAGGAGGGCACTGAACAGTTATGTCATTATGGGCTCAGATTGATGTGATTTATGTAGAACCTTAAAAATCCTGTGTTTTTACATATCAAATGGATCTGTGCGTGAGATCATTTGCATCTGTTTTCTATTTCCTTTTCGCCTATTTCCCGCAAAGACTGCGAACTGCAACACATTTCTGGTAAAGAGTAAAAATATATTTAGTTTTGAAGACCTCTTCCGCATGTGATTAACACATCCAGAGCCATCGAATAGGCTCTGACAGCCATGCTGTATTCCTCCCGCTGGAAATTAAAGTTTCCTCGCTCTCGCTTCTGGTTGCCAATGCGGATGCGGTCTGCGACGGGCAGAGTTAACGGGTCCGGTTTCTCTCTGACATCCAGCAGCTGGAGTTGGTAGAGTAAAGCAGCCCAGGCTGGAATATCAGGCTCCCTGCATGTAAACAAAGACAACAACAAAACAACACTTAATCAATATCACAAAGGGGGCGAAGAGTGAAAGAGCCAAGATCATAAAAGATGATTTACATCAGTCAGGAAATCAATCTGATCGTTGCAAGCTTCAAGAAAAGCAGAAACGAGCTGGTCAACATCCTACAGAAACTCAAGACATTTGGTGACTGTGCTCATAATTATGTTACGCGTTCGATGTTGGCCGTATAGACTGCTGTGGTTTCATCAAAAACTACAGAATTAAGTGATGACTCCTTTTAGCAGAAGAGGTATAATATTTCCATCAGGATAAGCACTAAATGTTTGATTTTTTGTATCACAGCCTCTTTTTAAATGTTTTGAGAGTATTTCAACAAACATGCAAAATAATTGTGATATCACAATACAAAGTGCACACTGTAAGTACATTCGTTCTCTTTTAGTTGCTCTCTGTGTCCATTACGTTTGACTGTACCAAACACCTCAATCGCACCCTCAAATCAACACCTGTAACTCCGGCATAAAGCAGACAAGAATTTCAAATCGGTATGAACCTGTGAGCCGGCGAAGGCTTCAGCTTACCCGAGAGTCACTCAGAAGGAAAGTTCATTTGGTTTTCAATCATCTGGCTCCTGTGACCACATGGTGCACAATGGTCCATTATCAGTTACTCTGTGGAGGCTCTGGCTCCAAAGGGAGGGTGTGTGTGTGTGTGTGTGTGTGTGTGTGTGTGTGTGTGTGTGTGTGTGTGTGTGTGTGTAGGTTTGTAGGTGTTTGTGTCAGAGAGAGAGAGAGAATCAGAGAGGGAAAGAATGCAATGACAGCTTGCATACATTTAGAAAAAAAAGTTGATTTATAAGTGGCCTACTTTATTGAATCTAACAAAGACAAAAAACAATTAAGACAAATTAATTTAGAGTTTAATAATCAGCAATAATGCAGAATGATGTTCTGCTTCCTGCAGATCACACCTACTGCATGAGTGTGTTTTGTTATGCATGCAGGCGTACGGCGTTATGAATAATTCAAACTGGTGGATGTCAATGGAACATTTTATGTCTGTCTAACAGAATTAGTTGTGTCACCAGTTACTGGGAGACTGTGGCATCAGATTACCCTTTCACCTCTCCTCTCTGGAGACCTTGTGCACCGTCACAGGCGTGTGAAAGCAGCCACTGAACTGAGGCCTTAGAAACCTGAGCCGCATCCCTGAGCACGGGACAGGAGAAAGTAGCGGCCACACCCGCTAGCATATAGTGCCATCAATGCAGATCTTTTAGGAGCCAGTCAAAACTATTTTAGACAGTAGCACCCAAGTCTCACCGACTTGTTTTTGCACACCACTGCAGGTTATTAACAGACGAGTTGCATAACAGACAGAGAAGAAGACAGTTGTGGACAGACAGCACACGGCTTAGGTCGCACCAGGTGATGACCTTTCTAAAACAGGCCTCATGCTCCACATCTGGTCGATTAGATACGGATCCTTCTGACGTGCTTATGTCATGTGTTTTGGTGGCTTACCAAGAATGTGAAACCACCACTAAACGATCCACTGCACAGCTCGTGCAGCACATGGACATACTTTAACTACGTGTCGTCCATGCATGCTTTCCCTTATCCCATATCTGAAAGTATTACGCAGTATTCGTAGGGCTGCGTGTTACGTCACAGCGTGCAGCAATCGCACACACAGCATCCTGCCTGCTGACCTTTTAATAATCTGTCTTTGAAAATGTGGCAGAGCTGGGTTTGTAAATAGTAACTCAGCAGTAAAACCCCTTACTTATTATCATCACTACATATTTATTTATTCTTAAACAGAGAAAACACCCACTTCAGTTGTGAGGCACACAGCAGTGAGTCATTTCGATGCAGGCACGGCCATATGTACCAATTCAAAACTTCATGAATCCCAAACAATGTGTTATCCTACAAAGGAAACACAAGTTGTACACACCGCCTGACCAGCGCGACACATCCCTTTTCGTGAAGGGTGTGCAGCGTTACGCCTGCAAACCGTAGTGTTACAGAAAACAGAGTTAGGATTTAAGTCCGAAATGAAGCGAGTCACTGAGAGTTAAGCGTCCTCCGTGAGAATAAACGAAATGGGCACGACTAGCAACTTCTGTCGAAACTAATCTGAGTATGCAGTGCGCTGACAGATCTATGAGGTTTACAGCGTCATGTGGGTCATTGGTGATTAGCACCACAATGTGCGCTTAGCTCAGCCAATGAGCCTCCGGGGGCCTTATTAGTGAAAACAGGAAGCCGAGGCTGGTCAGCAGGGAGATACCTCCACAAGATGCCAGAGAAACTTAGAATTTATCACCCGGTTATTTTTATACATACATACATACAAACATACATACATACATACAAATATATATACATATATAAGTGATGGGTAGAGCTCTCCCCTCCCCCCCCTGCCGGTTTGGCCACAGCACCTTAATTGGTGATGCCTAACAGGTGTGACCAGGTGCTCTTTAAATGGGAGCTTTTGCCCCACTAGAGCTAGAGGGGCTTGCTGTAGGTCTCCCACGGCATAGGCACAGCACTCGCCACGTGCGGATGGGTTTGAGCGGAATCTAGAGGTATGTCAGGGGTTTTCTGTTTCATGTTTTAATATGCTTTTTAGCAGTGAAATGTTTATTGGCGTTATTTACCTTTTCTTTCTTTTATACAGGAAATGATCAGGTGGTGCAACGCTGAGCCTGGTCACTGCTGTTTTTGCCTTTGATTTAAAATAGATTATGGTTACCCGGTTTATATAGTATCTTTGATTATGAATTGCTAATTTGTTTTCTTTCTGGGTTAGTGTCTTTGTTTTGTCCTACATAAACAACCATTACTGCGCCCTATACTGGGGGTCCCTTTAATGCCAGTGCAGGTGGGCATATAGTAGGCCTACAGGGGGTGGCTCACGAGGTGGAAGGCCCTTTCAGTTTATTTTGTTTGTTTGCTGTGTTTTAATTCTTTTTGATTTGCTGTGTTTTCTTTCCTTTGACCTGGTGGTGGCTCTCTTGTCCCCTTTCACTCCCCCGCCCCGGTGGGCCTCAAGTAGTCACCTTGTACTGGTAGGGTACCCCAGTATAGTAATCCTTTTTCAAAGCATAGATTATATTTTGCCATAAAACCGACCAATGTTTCTGGATTGATTATTTCTTTTCTTTTAAATATTAAACCTACTTGTAAATAAAAAAAACATTGTTACAAAACTGGAACTTCACCTCTCTGCTCCCTTTCTTTTTCATTACAACTGATATTCTTTGGGTGAGAGTCCCAAAGTGACGTTGTCACCCTTGTGACCAGGCGAACGGCCGCCCCGGTTACAAATTGGCGTTGCTGGCAGGACTCTTTTTATTTTTTATTTTATTATTATTTGTTTTTTTAGAGCAGAGACGTGTCCTTCTAGTTCACTTTTCGGACAGTTGCTTTATGTAGGACCCCCCCATGTGTATATTTTTCGGATAGCTTACTATTTATTTCTTTTTGGGCAAAACAGCAGTTGGCCAAAGGTTCTTCTTAAAGAGGAAGAGGAACCTGTATCCCTGTTGGCTCCCAGGTGCCAAAACCACCCAAGTCTATAGAAATGGAGGAAGGCCAGCTGGACTTACGGGACTTGGTGATTCAACTCCGGGCTCAAAATGAACAACTTTCACAAGAACTTTCAGCAACGCAAGCACGTCCAGCAAGCTTGACTCCTGGCTCTTCTGAACTCCCTGGCCCCTCTGGATCTGCTGGTCTCCCAGGGGCAGCGCCTGAACGCCTACTCTACATCCCCAGAGAAAGGAAGTGCCCCATGTTTAGGGGGAATGTGGGTATAGGAGTGGTAGAATGGGTCGAAGAGGTCCGTGCTAGCATGCGGGCCAGGCATTTAGCTCGCATAGATCAGGCCTATTTCATTTACGATCATTTGGAGGGGTCTGCCAAAGATGAGATCAAGTATAGGCCCCAGCAAGATCGTGAGGATCCAGAGAAGGTTTTGACTATACTGCAGGAAGTGTATGGATGTTCACTGTCTTATGTTGCTTTACAGAAGGATTTCTTCTCCAGAAAACAGCTAGAGGGTGAGTCGTTGCAGGACTACTCTCATGCTTTATTTGAGCTTATGGAAAAAATCATGAGGAATGCTCCTCAGGCTATACCTAACTCTGCCATTCTATTGAGAGATCAGTTTGTGGAACATGTTAATGATTCAGATCTCCGCAGAGCTTTAAAACAGGTTGTACGTGCTAAGCCATTAGTTACCCTCTTGGATGTGCGAGGGGAGGCAGTCAGATGGGAGAGGGAAGGTAGACAGCTGGAAAGTAGGCCCCGCAGTTTTTCCGTCCCCTCCATCTGTGCTACCCACCTTTCAAGGGTGTCTGAGCAGACGAGTACCTCATCTCAAAGTGAAATGGCGGAGATAAAAGAGATGCTTAAAGCACAACAAGAACAAATTAACCAGCTTTCCACCCACCTCTTGCAATTACAGAACCCCTCCAAATGGTCTCGGCCTTCGAATACAGGCCCTGTTCTCTGTAGACGCTGCCAGCAGCCAGGGCATTTTGCTCGTAATTGCGATAATGCAAGGGTCCCTTTTCAGCAACAGCGCCCCCAGGCGCATCCTATGCAAAGGGCAACTGCTCAAAATCAGCAGTCGGAAAACTAATGCCCTCTGTTTTGCAGAACCACGATTCAGAAGGGGCCATTACAGGTTCATGTTATCCAGTGGATGAACAGTGTCTCTCTCAACTTGTTAGTCCTTGTCCACATGTTGCAGTGGTCATTGGTGGGGTTGAGGTAGACTGTCTACTGGATACGGGGTCAATGGTCTCCACAATTAAGGAGTCCTTTTTCCACCAGCATTTTGACAACTCTCCCCAGGCATGCCAGTGGCTACAACTTCAACAACAGCAGCTAATGGACTTAGCATTCCATATGTGGGGTATGTAGAGCTCGATGTTTCTGTAATGGGTACAGTTATTCCCAAAAGGGGGATTCTAGTGGTTAAGG